GTTCTCACTAGATACTTTGTATTAGTTGTTCTCACTAGATACTTTGTTGCCATTTAGTTGGTCGCTGGTCTTTCCTCTGTTTGGCCTGAACCAGCAGCTCCTTTTAAACCTCAGACCTTTACCTATGGCTTATTCCAATTCAAATCACTACGTGGGAATTTCAGAGTATATATCCCTTTTCTCTTGTTGTGTTCAATTTGGTGCCCCCCAAGGCATAGCATAGAAGACTGCTCTGGCTGGCTCTACCTCTAGTTCTGCTGAGTTGTCCTCTGTCTCCTGCATAGCACTCTGTCATGCTCTGCACTCTGGCTCAGCTTTAGTATCCTGGGCACTTACCTTGCCTCAGGGAAGTATTTCTTGTTCTGGACTTCCTTTGCCTGTGTGCTCCTTTCTTTCAGAAAGCTGATAGCATCCACACCTGTGGCCATCCTGACCGTGTCTGTTTCTGGCTGCTCATGACTCCCGGCTGGGTTTTAGTTCACCATTGCATCTGTTTTGCTTAGTGCTTGAGGAACTTTGCAAAAGATTTGTTGACTGGAAAATTTGATTTTGCCTTTTTTTTTTTTTTTTTTTTTTTTACATTTTATTTACTTTGTGGGAGTATGCGGGCATGTGCATGCCATGGTGCAGATGCAGAAGTCAGACAGCTTGGAGGAGTCAGTTCTGTCTTTCAGTCGTGTGGCCTCTGGGGACCAAACCCAGGTTGGTGATGAGGCTTGGCAGCTTGTTCTCTCACCTGCTTAGCCATCTTACAGAGCTGGGGAGTTGTCAGTAGGAGTTGATGAAATCCAAAAGTTGACTACCTAGATATTGCTGTGTCAGTTTGGTTTTCAGCTGTAAGTAGAACTTAACAATCCTTTAAGCTTTACCCTTTCTTCAGTTGGGATTCTTATGAAAATGAATCTGGGCTTTATAATACTCAATGGAGTCTCCATTAAAGGAGGCAAGCAGACCAAATGTTTAAGCAGTCACATAATGATTCAAAATGAGCAGATAAATGCATTTCTGAAAATAACTGTCCTCTAATCTGTATTTATTTTAATTACAGAACATGGTCCAAGACAATTCCTGGAAAAGTTGAGTTCTTCTCTAGTGAGGGTTCAGATACATCGATACCCATTCCAGTAGTGCCACTGAGGGGTGTCGATGACTCCTACCCACCCCAGAAGAAATCTTTCATGATGCTCAAGTACATGCATGATCACTACCTGGACAAGTACGAGTGGTTCATGAGAGCAGATGACGACGTTTACATCAAGGGAGATCGTCTGGAGAGTTTCCTGAGGAGTTTGAATAGCAGCGAGCCCCTCTTTCTTGGGCAGACGGGACTGGGCACCACAGAAGAAATGGGGAAGCTGGCCCTCGAGCCTGGAGAGAACTTCTGCATGGGGGGGCCTGGTGTGATTCTGAGCCGGGAAGTGCTTCGGAGAATGGCACCACACATTGGCAAGTGTCTCCAGGAAATGTACACCACCCATGAGGATGTAGAGGTGGGGAGATGTGTCCGGAGATTCGCAGGCGTGCAGTGTGTCTGGTCATACGAGGTAAGAGCAGAATTCTTTATATGGGAAAAACTGTCAATTTTTTCTTTTTGAGTTCTGAGTTAATCATAGGAAACAAGCAATATCAGTCTCTTCAGGGTTAAAACTGGTATAAGTTATTGGTACATTTTAGCCTTAGTTTTTAATTTTTTAAATTCTCATTACCCTGATTTCCCCTGGCCTAGACTGCTAGGCCTCTAGAGTATGCCCCTGGACATCTGATGTCTTTAAAAATAAATAATGGTACTTGAAGCTTGAAGGAAACGTAGGATTTACTGATGGTCACAGTGACCTTTTTCCATGAAACCCAGAATCATCTGATTTCTGTTGATCCCACAAGACCTTCTGCAAGAGCATAGGATACTCCTTGTTTTCCATCTCCCAAAGGCTCGCACTTTCATCTGGTCAAGATGACCTCCACAGATCAGAAACTTGCATGTTTTGAACTTATAAAATGGTCAGTGATGAGAAAAGGCCAGGACTTGCATTTTGGAGCTAGGGTTGCAGCATACCGTGTGCTATGGCGTGTACTCAGCATCCCTAGGGCATCTCTAGCACCAAAGAGAAATGATTGTTATAAACCTTGACCTTTTATTTGTAAGCGTGTGATACAGTCGTTCCTTTCACACTAGGTGGCAGACAATTCTGAGTGAACACATGAAAGCGTTAAGGAAGTATACTTGCAGGTCTTTGCTCTTTAATAAGAGGGCAAGAGTTCATCTTGGGGTTTTGTCTTCTATTGGCACATGTGTGCGTATTGCCTGTAATTTCAGGATCAAATGATGGTAGCATGAAATGGATTGTTGTGTTTAGTTTAGTCAGCTATTGGTGGTTGTGAAGAGCAGAAAGAACTGCTAGGCCTTTTGCCCAAAGCAAGAACTTGCCCTCTTGTGTGAGCCCTCAGCTCTTTCTTGAGGGAAGAAACATGCTCTTGCCCTTGCTTGTCTCTCCTGAACTATAGCTTGCTTTTAAATGTCTTCCAATTATTTTGTTTCTTCTGCTTAACATTTTTAGGGCACTTGATTACAGTTTCAGAGGGTAAGTCCATGAACAAAATGACGGGGAACAGGCAGGCATGACTGTGGAGCAGTTGCTGAGAGTGTCTGCAGTATGCAGACAGAGAAAAACTGGCCTGTCGTGGGCTTTTGCAACCTCATTGCTGACCCCCAATGCCGTTTCTCCTCCAATAAACCCACATTTTCTAATCTTTCCCAAATAATTCCATTAACTAGCAACCAGGCAATCACACCAAGCAATCAAAGGTGGCCTGTAGGGGAGCAGCATTCTTACTTAGCCAGCTCAAAGGCCATTTAAGGATTTCATGCTGTGTTAAGTAGATTCCAACTAGCAGTGTCTCTGCATTTTCCTCATCATAATTAAATAGTTATGACCATAGCATACTTCTCTGTGGCAAAAATACATAGCACTGTATATTTTGGAATGCTTTGTCTTGCTGGCATTCTAGAGGACAAGTTTGCTATTGTTGGTTGTGTTGAGACAGGGTCTCCTTGGTTGCTGAGGCTGGTGAGCTTGCTCCGTCGCTAAGACTGGCCTCAAAACTGATCCTTCTGCTCCCACAGTGCAGGCACTGCATGTATAAACAACCATGCCCAACGCTTTTATGTCAGGTCTCACTCTGTAGTGTAGGCTGGCCCGGAACTCTCTGATTGCAGGGATTGGCTCCCATTTCCACACAGCTCAGGGCTTTTTTTGAGAATTAAAAAAAATGTTTGTGTCTTGATGTAGTCTTCAATATCTCATAGGTCCTACTGGATAGAGTCAGTATCTTGAGGTAGATAGAGCAAGAACTTTGAACTTTGATTTAACATGAGTGCCAAATTGTAGGTATAAAGTGGGATCTAGAGCTCCAGGACTTGAAAGACTGAGAGGTGATTTCTTATTCATCATGAAGTAATCTGACATGGGTTGGAATACCCGTGATCGAGATTGTGGACACTTTGACTTTTGTAAATAGTCTTATTGGCTCAGGGGATCTGATAGGCAAACACCTCTCTGTGGTGTTTTCCTCTCAGCCTAGGGAGCAGGGTCAGTAATAGCAGCCACAGGCGGCTCTCCCCAGGAATGTAGGCCAGGCAGTCAGGAATGTCCCTACTGCTTTGCAATTCTTTAAATGCCTTATGATGACACTGATTTTCCTAGATTTTCCTGGCTGGCCCTCCCCTGGGCTCGTGCCAGAGGTTCCTCCCTCAGGGATGCTGAGAGTTCTCTTTCCTGTGAGTTGTCTGTTTGCAGTTTTGGCCCATGTTTCAGATGTCTGTCTTAGAATTTTGTTCAAGTGCTTTGTTCTCAACATAGGATCTTCTGGGCTATGTGCTTTGTCTTTTTGCCTTCACTGAATTATAGAATTTTTAAAAAATTGACCAGTTGTGAGTCTAACTCTAACATAAACTTTATTTGATGGTTTGTGCTTTTTACTTAGTTAGTTTTATTAATGTGTGTGGGTATTTACCTTCATTTATGGCTGTGTGTTCATAATGTATGTCAATTGCCCATGGAGGCCAGAGAGAGGGTTGGATCCCCAGAAAAGGAGCTGCCAACCATCCAGGTGCAGGAACCGAACCTGTGTCAACTAGAAGAGCAAGCAGCCAAAGCTCTTAGTGACTTTTTTGTATTTTAAGAAATTGTTCCTTCTCTGGGTCACATAAATTTTAAATTTCCCCTTTTCATTCTCATTTTAAGAAATACATACAAGGACCATTTACCATTCGATCAGCCTGCCTGATGCCTGCACCATCACTAAGAGAGTCCATGTTCAACAGTCAGGCAGAATTAATCCTTAAACTTCCTGTAAGATAATTATGTTAAGCTTTGAGTCTTGGAAGATATTTATTTTGCTCTATTATAAGCCTAGCCAGAGGAGTAATTTTTTAAAAACTTGCCTTGAAGTAGAAATAATTCCTCAGGTAATAGCTGTGTAATTAAAATGACTCATGGGGAACAGTTGTCAAAGCCAAAACTCAGATTTATTTCTAAGCTTATTTTTTGATTATTGCTGGTACTTACTAATAAATGCCCTTTAAGCGCATGTTTTTAAATGATTTTAGTTTCACAGAGAAGTTAAAGCAAAGTAAGAACTGGTCCAGAAGCTTGAATTCTGGTTAGGTCTGGTGCCTTTCACAAGGAGTAAAAGCTGTTACCTCAAATTACTCAAGAGTTTGTGAGACTTGGTGTTGAAGCGTTGGAAAGGTGATTTTGTGTGTGTTTGGGTTTTTTTTTTGTTTGTTTGATTGGTTTGTTGTTGTTTTTCAAGACAGGGTTCCCCATGTAGCCCTAGCTGTCCTAGAGCTCTATAGACCAGGCTGGCTTTGAACTCAGAGATCTGCCTGCCTCTGCCTCCTAAGTGCTGAAATTAAAGGCGTGTGCCACCAGCGCCAGTCAGCTGCCACCTCCTTTAGACTCTTTATTGAATCTTTGTGAATCAATTTGCACTCACTTGTCTCCCTGTCCCTTTGTATCTTCCCTCCACTCTTGTAATCTCCTCCCTCCTCAAATAAAACCCTGAAAACATCTAGCTGTGGAATCTGTAGTGTGTTACAGTGTGTTACACAGTATACTCTTTTGGCCAAACATGTTTACTTGCAGATTTCCATTGCAATGAGTCATCGGTCTGGTATGCTGCTACACTATCAATACTGGATCTTTACCAGGACTCCTTTCAGATATCCTGTTGTTGCTGTGTGTTGTAGAGATCCTGCAGCTTTGGATCTGCAGGATCTCCTCTCCACGTGCTTCAGCAGTTCATAGTTGGGGTAAATGGATAGTTCATGTTAGGGTGAGCCAACTCAAAGCCCTGGATCAGAGACCTAGATAGTAGCTGAGTAAGTCAGCCTACCAGCTTTCCTGCACCCACACTACCATGGCCGACTCTCCAGCACTGCCCTGACTAGACCTGCAAATGCAGGTTCCCATAGAAGCCGGCAGAGGGTATTGGATCCACCAAGAGCTTGGGTTGCTGGCATTTGTGAGCCACTCAGTGTGGGTACAAGGAACTGAAGTCCAGTCCTCTACAAGACCAGGAAATGCTCTTAACCACTTCTAGTCCCAGAGTGTGGTTTTGAAAGAAATTCATGCCTCTGTTTCACCTCTCCAGGGACTTCCAAGCTGCTCATTTTGACTGTGATTGTAGACAAGGCTAGAGTAGATCTGGAAAATGAGTTGGATATAGACTAAGTTCCAAGACCATATGGCCCACCGTTTGTATAGCTTTTCTGTTTCTCTTGTATAGTGTTCTCTGGATTATTTCAGGTATTTAGTTAAAATTCAGTCCTGAAAATGCTGCTTCTAGGCCTTCTCGCCTGTGCTCTTTGTACTTTAATGGAGGACAGTTTTTTGATTTGTTTACTCTTCTCTTTCATTGATACCACCTAAGATCATCTTTTTATTGGATGCCCAGTTCATAGGTTAAAGTGTCTTTTTACTTAGATACATTATTCTGAATATCTCTTTGTACTTTAAGAAGTCAAACAAATTGGAAAAATCTGGAAGACTTCTGAGGGATAAGTTAAAATATGTTCATTAAAAAAATAAAATTTGTACCTTTTTCATTAGCAGCACACAGTTCTGGTGACACTGGTGCAGAAAGCATTCCTATTATTATTTAGATCATAGGAATAAAGCAAACATAGCCCCTTTTAGTGATTGGAATGACAATGGCCTTAATAGGCTCATGTTTGACTCCTTGTTCCCCAGTTGCAGAACTGTTTGGGAAGGATTGGGGTGTGGCCTTGTTGAAGGAGGCTTGTAGATTTCAAAAGACTCTCTTGCTATTCCTTCTCTGCCTCGAAGGAACGAATGTGAAGATCAAGATGTAAGCACCCTGCTATTCCTTCTGCCATGCCTTTGCTCTGTCATCATGGACTCTGACCCTCTGAAACCATAGCCCCAATCAAATGCTTTCTTTTGGAAGTTCCCTTGGTCCTGAGGTTTTATCACAGCAATAGAAAAGTAAACTAAGACTATCCTACTCTCCCATACTCTAGAAGAAGTAGTCTGGAGTACAAAGAAACAGAGAGCAAGAGAGCAATTGTATGGTT